AGAAATCTTCCCATCAAACCACATAAACACTCACGGCCAGGGTCAACAGAGAAGGGGAAACAGCCCACAGGGCTCTCGGCCAAGGCAAGGAACAGGGACAAAAAAAAAGGTTCACAGCAAAAGCAAGGGACAACTGCCAAGACTCACAGCCAAAGGCAACCCGAAGCACAAGCAAGGCCCACGGCCACAGCAACCCAAGGCACAGAGAGGCTCACGGCTATAGCAACCCGAGGCACAGAGAGGCCCACGGCTCGGGCAAACAGGAGAAGTACCAATAGCCGCTACAACACTCCCCTGACGAACACGGAAGGGTAATTAAAGTAATCCTAAATTTTGGGATGGCGAACTCGATTCATCCACAATTCTCAAGACGATTCAGGCCTAGCAAGGAAAGCCAAATCACACCCAAAGACCTGCAATAGACTTCACAGGTAAGGGGTAGGAACCAAAGCCAGCAAAGCCATCTCCCAACCACTCCTCGGGTAAAGGCTGAACAAAGCGACACAGCCCTCAATTAAAGCCAAACCGAGCCCAACAAGAAACAAAGCCAAAACCGAGCTCAACAAGGCTAAAACAAGCAAAGATAGCCCCCACCTTAGAGTCAATCCAAATCCAATCCAAATCCCGCAAAGGCCAAACAAAGTGCAGCAGGGCTAAAACACAAGAGCCCTTAAAGCCAGGAAAAGAACTTTTAACACCTCAATGCAAGTCAAGGCTCAAGCCCCACAAAAATCAACATCCCATACTCTTGAAATGAAAACTGAATACCAACAAAAGCCCAAAGCCGAGACATTTAAAGCCCAAAACTGAGCCTAACGATATCAAAATCCAGACTTCCATAAAGCATTAAAGCTATAGCTATTTCACCCCAAAACCGTGACTTCAAATCAAGCCAAAACCAAGTTCAACAAGAACCAGAAATCGAATCAGCGTTCGACGAGAAACGGAAAGCCAAATCACACCCAAAGACCTGCAATAGACTTCACAGGTAAGGGGTAGGAACCAAAGCCAGCAAAGCCATCTCCCAACCACTCCTCGGGTAAAGGCTGAACAAAGCGACACAGCCCTCAATTAAAGCCAAACCGAGCCCAACAAGAAACAAAGCCAAAACCGAGCTCAACAAGGCTAAAACAAGCAAAGATAGCCCCCACCTTAGAGTCAATCCAAATCCCGCAAAGGCCAAACAAAGTGCAGCAGGGCTAAAACACAAGAGCCCTTAAAGCCAGGAAAAGAACTTTTAACACCTCAATGCAAGTCAAGGCTCAAGCCCCACAACAAAAATCAACATCCCATACTCTTGAAATGAAAACTGAATACCAACAAAAGCCCAAAGCCGAGACATTTAAAGCCCAAAACCGAGCCTAACGATATCAACCGATAACAAAATCCAGACTTCCATAAAGCATTAAAGCTATAGCTATTTCACCCCAAAACCGTGACTTCAAATCAAGCCAAAACCAAGTTCAACAAGAACCAGAAATCGAATCAGCGTTCGACGAGAAACAAGAAGCCAAAATCGAGTTCAACGAAAACTCAAAAGCCAAAGTCAGAGCTCAACAAGATTAAATCAAGCCCAAGCATTGATATAATTGAGCCATACAACATTAAAGCTCTAGCCATTTTAAGCCCGAGGAACGACCTGCATGTCTAAACATTCTAAGCATGAAATTATTCCAACAAATATATGAACAGGGGAGATGCCTCATGAAGAGTTAAGCCGAATTCTCAAAACAAGATACAAGACTTTCCAAATTAAACAAGTTTTCTTATAACATATATTTCAAGCCAGGGAAAGCCACAGGAAGCCAAAGCCGAGCCCCTACATATCCCCCACATATGTATAAGAAGTAAAGCGAACTCCCTAGCATTCATCTTAAGCAAGAACCAGTCATAAGATGCTAAAGCCGAAATCCCAACATGCTTGCAAGAGGAGCAAAAATCACTTCAAAGTCATGCCTTAACTCCCTAAATGCTTCCAACATAAACATGTCACAATAATCATAAGGATGCCATAGTCTCCCTAGTTTAAGTAAGTAACAAAGTTTAACATTAACACATGCTCACATTTTCATTTCCAAATGCACTTGAAGTGAATATCTTAAGAAAATATATCCAAATAAAATCAGGGAAAAGAGAAGAAGAGAAAAGAAAGCCACCTCAATGTCTACGGCACTCGAATCGGGCCAAAAAAAAAAAAAAGGAAGTGCTCCCTGCTCGCAGAGGGCGAAGCCACCGAAGCAACACAAGAGGCTACCTCAAAGATATGCTCTCACAAGAATCTCCTTTCCAATCTCCTCTAGCTAAATTTTCAACAACCCCGAACAAAACAACAAGGAACTCTCCTTATAGGCAGGGAATAGAGAAGAAGAGAAAAGAAAGCCCCCCCAAGGTCCACGGCACTCGAATCGGGCCAAAAAAAAAAGAAAAAAGAAAAAAGAAAAAAGGAAGTGCTCCCTGCTCGCAGAGTGCGAAGCCTCCGAAGTATCTCAGACCGAGCGGCCAACCTAGTGGCAGTGAGGGAAACATCGAGAAGAAGAGAAAAAATGTCATTCGAGTGTACTAGGGAACAAACTTCCCAGAGTCAAACTATCAAGAAAAGGAAAGCCACAGCTCATAAAGACTGACACCGCTTCGGGAAGGAAGGCCGCGGGCAGCAGCATGTCAGGCAAGGACGAACGGGGTCAACCCTCCCTCGCGCGGAGGAAGATGAGTTCGGTCGGCTCGAGAACGAGAAAGGG